CTCGCTTTTATTGCAAGCCTTTATTTCAAGAGGTTATGCAGCTGGTGTAACACAAATCTACATGTGAACACAAATCTAGAAGCAAATGCTCAGAGCTGAGATGAAAAAGCATCTGTAATTTAGATAAATGACAGCTCGCTGTAGGAACAGCCTCAGCATTCAGGTCTTGTATTTCAGAAAGAGCCTGCACACAGTTTTGCTCATTTAGATTCAAATGCCACAAAACAGCCCAACTCCTGGATGAAAGATTACATCTTTATGCAGGAAGGCTTCCTTGGCAAGCTTAGGGGAGTCTGTCAACCAAGAACAAGGATCCAAGGTATGTCTGTTTATTCAAGTACCACATCTGTGTCATGAACTCGGAAATGTGACACCTCTGCAGTGAGTTCAGCTGACAGAACTGTTCCCAAAGCCTTCTCTGATGGTGAGGCCTCCAGAATAAAAATACCATCAGGAACCAAAGAGTAAAACTTCTGTGTTCAGCCTGAACAACTTGAAGCTTGAACTGAAGAATTCTCTTTCCAGCTGCCATTACCTCGGCTGCTGGAAAACAGATTCCCCAAGGTGGGACAGGTAGGACACAGTTACCTGGTTTGGTGTTTTACTACTTCAGTTCTTGGTATTTTCCTCAGGAAGTCAGAGCACTGGTGTGTGAGTGCTGCTGGAGGGGAAGAGGTCCTTGCCAGGCTGCAGTGCCTGGGTGATGGATTTGTGGGCTAGGCTGTTCCATGTAGTTGCACAATAAGTCAACAAGGGAGGTGAAGCTGAAAGCCCCAAGTCTTAATGACCCAGCAGGTATTTTCACTGCTCATGCCATGGAAATCAACCTGTAATTGCAGCTTCAAGTGGTCACACATAAAAAGCACGGAGTGAAGAGTTACACATTAGGAAATGCAAACACCGTGATCACCTGGGAAGCTTTAGCTCAGCTTCTCCTGGATATGTATGATCCCTAACTACCTTCTCCATCCTTTCCTTCCCATAAACCCCCACCCTCACCCAGTGAACTTGGGTGAGACAACATTCCCTGAACACAGAACTTTAATTACAGTCATTTCCCTTAACCCTGTAGTCAGGGTGGAGTTCTGAGCCCAGTCAATCCTCTCGGCACTGCTCATTTCACAGCACCCCTTCTGCTGAGGATCCACAGTGCTCTCCAGAGCTCTCACACTGCCCCACATATTAAGTGCCAGTAATAGATTTTTAAAAGGCTGGAAAACTAAGAGTTCATGCCATCAGAATGATCCTTCTAGTTTTGGTACCCAGAACAAACGTCCCAAGTCCAGTTTTTCAAATACTCCCAATGTTTATAGGATTCTGCTCTGTGCCTGGAAACTCTACTAGCTGGGGGTCTGAGCTGCAGAGATGAGCACCCAGGCCTGGAGTTGTGTACTCAGCACCAAACCCAGAACTCTCCACACACCTGGAAAGGTTCCCAGTAACTTCCCAGCCAGGACCACAATCCACAGCCGGGCAAGGACACACCTGGTTCTCCAGGATGGCACTGACCTGACTCACCAGACCACCACCTACTTCTTCCCAGATAAAGCCACCTCACCCAGCGCTTCCACAAGTACCAGGTAATTTAAGATCTTATTGGGCCACCTGGAAATTCTGGATTTCTTCAGATGTCCAAGGCTACTGCAGCCTCTGCTTAAAGTGATTTCAGTCATTACCTGTGGGGATGAATTACTGATGTCAGCACCGTCACAGCTACACTCAAGAGATCAGACAGATTGTTGGGCATCTGAATATCCAATCATCATTCCTCCCACAAACAGCTTAATCTTTATTTATATTAGTTTATTGCCTCAATTGCACAGCACAGACAAACCTCTTTGGGAAGGAGACAAACTCCTGGGGAGCCTTCAGAACAGACCAGCACTCCCAGTCAGAGCAGCAGCTTCCTCAGACACAGCCATATGCACCAGGGAGCCCAGGTCAGCAAGGACTCACAGTAGAGCCAAAAGAGTCAATACACCCAATTCCCACAAAATAAATCATAGAATCAACCAGATTGGAAAAGACCTCTGAGATCATCAAGTCCAACCCTTGATCCAACCCCACTGTGGTTCCCAGCCCATGGCACTGATGCCACATCCAGTCTCACCTTAAACACCTCCAGGGACGGTGACTCCACCCCCTCCCTGGGCAGCCCTGAGCACCCTCTGGAAAAACTTTCTTCCCAATATCCAACCTAAACCTCCCCTGGCAGAGTTTAAGGCCGTGCCCTCTTGTCCTACTGCTGGTTCCTGGGAGCAGAGCCCGACCTTCACCCAGCTCCCTCCTCCTGTCAGGGGATTCAGAAGTCCAGGAGGTTCTCCCCACTGAGCCTCCTCCAGGCTGAAGCCCCCCCAGATCCCTCAGGCCTCTCCTCACAAGCCACTTGTTGCTCCAGTCCCTTCCCCAGCCTCGTTGCTCTTCTCTGGACCTGCTCCAGCCCCTCCATGTCCTTCCTGAGCTGAGGGCCCAGAGCTGGACACAGCACTCCAGGGGTGGCCTCACCAGTGCTGAGTCCAGGGGCAGAGTCACTGCCCTGCCCCTGCTGCCACACTCTTCCTGATACAATTCCCTCCTTTAAAAAGCCCTAAAGCCAGAGGTAGGGCTGTCCAGTTTTATTGGTCCCGAACATCATGTCAGTGAAAAATCCCTCACCAACTGATGCAATCCCTCCCCTCTTTGAGGCTCCCTTGAGGAGCAGCACATGGCACTTAAGCTGAGGGGAAAGTCCCCGACAGGGACACTTGAGGGAGATTCAAATTTTACACAAGCTCAAGCTACATTAACACTCAAACTGGAAACCCAGCAAGGCTCAACAGGCTCCTGTACCACAAGTTTTATATGGATCAGGAGCAGCTGTCCTTCCTTCACCAGGCTGCTTTTCCCCCCCTTTTATTGTTGTAGATCCTTCATTTATTTGTTGGGTTCCCTGCTGTGCTGGGCTGGACACCACCTGAACACAGCCCTTCAATCAGGAGCAGGCTCTACACTGAGGATGACCTTCAGCTGGCTCTGGGCACTAGTTATTTCTCCAGCACCTTTAGAAGCAGGCTATTTTTCTAAACCATTGAAGAAAAGCCATTAAATTAGTTTTTAAGTCAGTGTGTGTAATACAGCACAGGCCACCTGCCCCTCAGTGAGGCCCCCCTGCCATGCTTTGTCTGCCATAGCTTTAACTCTTATTTAACTTATCAAAAGGATGTCAGAAGGCTTATACAAGTTCACCTCTAATGTACTCGTTATCCTCTTAGGAGCCACTGAATGAAATGTGAGTTAATGAATAACACAGTAGGAATTATTTCATTATCCCCACGGTGAGAGGGAGCCATCTAATTCTTGGATATGATGTCAGACTTGAGAACCAGCCAGTGGTACTTACTGAGCCTTCCAGTGCTCACTCAACTGCTACAGCAGTGGTGTTCCCAGAGAAAGGCTGCACTGCTAGAACGTGCAGCAAAGCTGCTCCTCAGCAGCCTTAGGAGGAATTAAAGCAGCAGGAGGGAGCAACTGGAGCCTGTCATTCTGCTTCCACACAAGGGAGAGGTTTTTAGCAGCACACTTTTAATGTCCAGGCCTTGCACAGGTATGGAAATCAAGGCAGTGAGAGCATGTCAGCTCTTCACATTTTCCCTCTTGCCTTACATCCACCTTTACAGTGTCAACCCCACTTCCAAGTTACCACTTGTCTCTGGTACTAAGTCAACCTGTCTATTAAACTCCATCAGAAACCCAGGACACTTGAAGGGAAGTCTGAAGCAAGGTATAGATCCTTCATCAGTCATTGGCAATCCCATTTTCTGGCATTCAAGGCCACTTCACTTCCACTTAGTTAAACTAAGGCTTCTCACTCGAGAACCTGATGCCTTATGGCAGAAGGTGTTCACAGGAAAAACACCCATCTCCTGCCAGTACAGGAGGACAACTCCAAGAAAGAACAAGTCCTCCTGCAGGTCATCAGGACATTTGCCTGCAATAACAACCAGCTTTAGATTGCCTGAAGAGTTTGTATGTTTAAAGAACTAATTCTGCCAAGGAGACCAGGTGGCTTAAGAAGGTGTTCAGAGCTGGTGTTTCACTGATTTGCCAACCATCCTCTCTGCTATCAGGACAGCTATGCTGGGCAGTGCCCTTCAGATAGTTTGGCTCTTAGGACGTGTCCCTTCCTGTCCAAAACACCCTAAACTTCCTTCACATTGTGCAGTTGGGAGCAAGAAAGCAGCAGACACTTGAACAGCTCACCCCAATCCATTACAGAGCCTGCAGGTATTACTTACCAGGTGTCCCCCTCTAACTACCTGACTGGTGAGGAATAAACTAGTACACAAGCAACCTAAAAACCTAAGCAAGAGGAAAAACCGGATAGCCTGGGAGACCACAGCTGGGAGATGGTTCTAGTTTTCCATCTGCATGAGAAGTCCCTCTCCCTGACATGTCATATTCAATGTCATACTCAACACAAGCACAAACTGAGGTGTGTTCTCTTTCTGAGGAGTGATTTTCCCACACCCTGCAGCCTGCACTCTCTCCTGGACAGCCACAGAGCACTGGGGCTGTGTGACACGTCAAAAGCAAAGGGTAATTGTGCCACAGTCCTTATCATGCTGAAAGAAACACTATCTGCAAGCCCAGCACGTGCTGTTCTGTCATTCTCACATGAGTGTGCACATGTAAGTTGTGTTCATAGTCCAGGCCTGGCATCACAGTCACTGCCACGACTGCAATGCTGCAGTATATTTAGAATGGCTCTGTTAACTCTTCAGCTCACTTTAAAAATGCCATTAAGGCATCCCAGCCTCCAAACCCACTGCTGTCCCATAAGCATTCATCTTCAATTCTTCAACCATCGCTCAAAACACCAGTATTTAAGATACAATACCCATGAGAAGTTGGCTTTGGAGCAAGTTTGTTATACCAGAAGCTTCTGAACTGGTACAGAACAGGATCTCCCTGCACGTGAAGAGCGTCCCTGTGCAGGAGTGTCTGAGTCAGTGCCCACTCACCCATGAGCTGATCTGCAGAGCATACAGCAGTGCTTCAGCCTGCACAGCTGGAAATCAGTGCCTAAAAGTAAGCACAATAACACAGAGCGAGGTAAGAAACAAGCTTTGGAGGTGTGATGTCACTTAAGAGGGTAATGGGATCAAACTGGTGAGGCTGTGAGCCCTCATTCTGACTTGTGCAGTGATACTGCTTAAGTTCAACCACGTGCTTCCATTGCCACTGAGTCAGAGCTGTCCTTACACAACACACCCAGGCTCCTCAGAGCTGTCCCGTGGGCCCTGCAGAGGCTGGAGCTGCACTCCTGCTCCAGCTGTGCTCGTTAATCAGCCTTTCATGCCAAGAAAACTGCCAAAGCCATCTGCAGCCAAGAGATCCATCTCTCCTGGAAGCATCCTCAGTGCCACGGCCGTGCCAGCTGTACACAAAAACTGCCCCACAGACCTTAAGGAAGATTCTCCTCATCACAAGCCAGATTCTGTGCCTGGTATTTTCCCTTTCTAAAAGTCCTACATTCTGTCCCTTGGTGAGCAGTTCTTACCTATTTTGAACACCCACTTCAGGAGACAGACAGATTCTTAATTCAACTGTGTGGTCTGGTGGGAGGACAGGAATATCCAACTGCCCTTAACTCTGCACTTTCCAGCTTAAATACATCCAGACAGACTCACTAGAAGGAAGTAAACAATGTCATCCAGACTGTCTGGGGAAGCAACAGTAACTTAAAAACATAGCTGCACACTGCAGGATGGGGTTCAAATGTGAACAGCAAAAGCTCAGACATTCCCTCTATTAACATAAACAGCTTTTATCCTCAACAGCTGTATGATTCTTCCCACCATGATTCTTCCTCACACCCCAAGATTTTTCCTAGCATTAAGTAGCTGCCTAAGTGAGACTCAGTTATAAAGTCACTTTATCACCACTACTATTCTCTCAAAGCTTAAAAATTAAATCAAGTCCTCCACCACTGGAATTTTCATTACCAGGAAGTTGCAGTAATGCTTATTGCATTATGGTTATTGGTTTGTTCTCCCAACACAATAACTCCATCAGTTCAATGCTTTGAGTTAATTATTATTGCTTAACAGAGGTAAATGCAAACAAAAACCTAAAGAGCATGGAATTAACAGTAGGAAACCAAGGTGAACTACTTCAAGATAAACCAAAGACTTCATGATCACCTGCAAGTATCAAGGAAATTCTCGAACAGCTCTGTGTATAAGAAATTAAAAACCATTCAGAAAACAGCCATGGGAAAATTATACAACAAGGTAAAGACTCCATCTTTTTCCTGTATCTGGATACTTGGGATCAGCAGTGAAGAAAGGTTTATTGTAACAAAATAACTAAAACTTGGATTGCAGTATGTCCAGAATATTCTGTCAGATCCTCTCAGCAGTAAAGCATAAATAATTATGAATGATTCCCTGGAGAGTCCACCAAAGCTCCAGAGATTCTGTGGAGCTTCTGATCCAAAGGTACCTCCAGCGATACCCTTCTCTCACTGGGGAAAGGAGCCACAGCAGCCAGGAGGGGAGGAAGGCAGCGCTGAGCCAGCCTGGCACTGACCTCCACTGAAGGGCCACCAGTTGCCCCGGAAGCTTCAGTGAGTTCCACTGGCAAGGCTGACCTTGGAACCGCTCAAACAAGTGCCTGCTGTGAAGCTGCTGCTCCGAGAGCTCCCGCCCAGCCCGAGGCCTGGGAGCCCCGGCAGTGAAGTGGCTGCTCCACAACAATGTGCTCCACTGCAGGAGCACTCACGAGCCACTGAATAGACAATGGAAAGAGCCATTCAAGTGTCAGTCCTCGAGTCCAGCCAGCACAAAGTGCTTTTTGTTTCTGTCTTGGAGATCCTGACGAATCAAAAATAGATTAAGTGTGCTGGCAGAGCGGCTTCTCCCTCCCAGACGGATACGTGATCCCAGGGAAGGGACCTACCAGGGCTCTGCAGTAACTCACCCCGGGCACACACAGCCCTGCACATGCTCTGCCCTCCTCGGGACACGCTGGGAGTGAATCCTGCCTTTGAGCATTCCGGTAAACTGACAGGGAGTCACTCTGCTCACAGGAAATAACCTCGCAAATAACAGCTACAGTCCTAGTCGTGTAGGTAAAGAACATCAATAACAACATTCAGTCTTGTTAGAGCCAGAGGAATCTCTGCCTGAGCACAGTTACCACTGAAGGCTTTATTACCTCCGGGGGAGGCTCTGAAACAGATACATTTGTGTTTTGTACAACATCCATTGAGTCCTGCTAAGTTCTCAGCATTATTTTTTAGTGGCTCAGTGACAAAAACAGTGTTACTGAGTAACTCTCCAGTCTGAAGTTTCAGTGCATCAGTCCTCTCTGCTGGATTAAAAACACAACCACCTTAACATCCACAGATCCAAAAGCCCACTACTCCGTAACCCACAAGGAATAAGCACATGTTATCTGTGGAAAACACAGGAGCATTTATCAAGCAACGTATCAAATCTTACCACAAATCCTAAACAAACCCCAGCAATACAACTGTTTCAGTTAACAACTAATAAAAGATCTGAGAAAAAGGAAAGCATCTGCTCCCACTTCCTACATAAATCTCAAGCAACACCACAGATACAGAACAGCTTCAGGAGCTGTATTTTTGAGGGATAATCTGAAGTTGGCAGTGGTAGATACCCTTCAGCATTTAGGGTTGCCTGTGCCAGCAGGTCAGCCCAAGGTCCCAGTGCCATAAGCGATGGAGCCCCAGGATCCACGGAGCAGCCCTGCTGCTCTGCACCCTTCCCAGGCCACATCCTCTGCCCAGGGAAGGGAAACCAGCAACCTCAGCACAGGGACCATCTACCTGCAGAAACGCAATAAAGCCCTGCAGAAACACGTGCTAAATGCTTTACTTGCAGCAACCCTGGTCTAGAAGGGTTAAAAATCCCCTCCAGAGCATCATTCTGAAAACGGCACTGAGACTGCACCTTAACCCTGGAGGATGCAAAGGCTGAGAGCTAAAGGTGAGGATTTCTACCTCAAATCTGCCTGCAAGGAACATTGTCACTTGTGACAAGGAGTTAAAGGACTGGAAGGAAGAGAAAGAACAACATTTGAGTTGTGATGAACTTAACTCACCAGCTCAGTAAGAGCAGCATTTCTGTGAAAGGTTTACACCAAGCTATCTCAAAATACTAAAAAAGGATATAATTCAAGCCTGCTGTTCAACACCAAACAAATCTGCTACTTCTCCATTTGAAAATTCAGTGAGGCTTCAAAGTAGGACAAGCCTAAGCAGACAAACCAGAAGACTTATTCCTTACTTCAGAATTGAAGCTTTCAAACCCTTCCATCCAACCTACTTCATCCAGCACTTCATTTTTAAGATATTCCAGCATATGTTATTCACTCAGCCTACTTAAGATGAGACATTAGTAAGGACTTTTCCCCATTCCTCCCCAAAAGAAAGCCTGTAAAACTGACATCAGAGACAACGTAAAACACATCACTTCAAGATAAGGTTGAAATTAAGGCCCTAATCTCAGAAGTATTTCCAGAATTTCACAGGCAAAAACTCACCTGCAGACCAACTCTAAATCCTAATTTAACAGTTCCGCACTGTAAATAAGCAAAGTTGAAGAATGAGAAAGGTGTAGCAAGACAGGCACAGCTGCTTGCTCTCTGCAGGTCACATTTACTTCTTTCTGCTAAAGGAAAAACCTCCCTACCCAGTGAGTGACACACACCTTGGTATTCAAATAACTGAGATCTAGAGATGTGGGGCAGAGGTAACCAGGCAGGAGTTAACTCTTCAAACAAATGCAGGTTTTAACTGGATAAATTCCTACCCTATACTTAGAGTTTAAAGGTTACAAAAAGCTCAGTGTTGGAGGAACAGATCAGCACCAGGCAGCAAGCTTTTTATAACATGGCAAAGACGCTCTGAATTCCATGTAGAGGCTGAGCTGTCACTCACCCAGTTTGATCTATGGATTCCCAGCTCCACAGAAAGGTTCACACTTTCTCTTTCACATTCTGACATGCAATAAGCTGCCAATGTGTCATTGAACCTCTGAGTTAAAATGTTATTAAAAAATAATCAAAGTAACCAGGTCGTGATGTTCTGAGGGGTCACAGGTAGAGCAGCATCTCGGGAGTCACCTGACAAGCAGCAGATTCTTCAGACAAGTTTCAAGCCATCAAATTTGTTTCAACATGTCCAAACTCTGCCAAGTCAAGTCTTTCACCAACACTCACCATGAGGTGACCCAGGGGAGAGCACAATGACACAACCCAAGTGCTGCTGCAACAAGGTGCTGGTTGGGTTTTCTCTGCAGACGTGATGGATGCACTGAGTTCTCCTACCACAGCTGATCTTCACTCAGCTGCACAAGCCCTCTCTGAACTGACCCCAGGGTATTCCTTCACCTCCTGCATTTTAATTAGTTACAAATAGTTAAGCAGATCTTAAGAATATCAACACCACACAGGGACCTAAATTTTTCCTCCTAAGTTTTCCAGAGTCAAACAGGAGGCTTGAAACTCTAGAAAACAGGTGCTGCAACACCAGCCTCAAGTTTACTGTTCATCAATTCATGGAAGCTTAAAAGCAGACCTTTTGCAAGCAGCAAAAACCCAGCTGGCTACACCTGCAACTGCACCACAAATGTGCTTCAGAGCAACATCTCCAGACTCCTGAAAAATCAAATAAACCAGCAATAAAGCCACCGAGACTCACCAACCTACCTGAACAGGCTGGAGTGTTCTCTGCACCTGCAGAAGTGGGTTTCATATTCCAAACCCAGCCTGGAAATTCAGACTAGCTCTAGGAATTCTTTAATTGTCTTGGCAAGAGGCAGCATAAAAACTGGGGAGTTGAAGCACATAAATTAGGTTTTGAGGGTGTTTTGGCACTAAACTGTAAGCTTAACTAGATTCTCCCCAGCCCACCTGCTTACTTCTAATATGGTAAATATTGCACAAAAACCTTCAGTCCTTTCTCGTCCTTTTCATGACACAAGTCACTTCAGACCAGCTTCTTTGGCTTGTTTTAACTTAGCACTCCTTGCTTTTGGTAAGTGAAGTCACTT